CCCTCCCCACCCCCCCCCCAACCTCCGTTTGTCCTGGATCCCGAGTTTCCGGGGCCCAGCGCTGCATCAGCTGTCAAATTGCCCCCGGGTCTGGTCCCCGCTGGTGCGACCATAGTTTCTTCCCCGCCTTCAGTACCTGTTCACGGCAGGGATATGAGCAGCCTGCGCAGACTTTGTTGGTGTGGCATAAACAGTTCCTCCCGCCGGCAGGGCTTCTGAGGTTTTGAAGTGACATCTGATTCAGCCTTCTTCCTTGGTGATCTTTACAGTACCGTCCTGTAGACATTTGGCCCTCATGTCTTCCTCCATCATCACGGGGTTCTCCATCACTACCCTTAATTTCTGCTTCTTGCACGTGTATATTGAGGCCAGATGTCAATTTCTGATGTCTTCACCTCTCCCTTAAAACAATACATCAATATGTACACATACGTGTATTTGTGTGTGATCGAGCATGCCCCTAAGATCAGAGGACAACTTTGGGTAGTTGGTTCTCACCTTCCACTGTGTGGGTTCCCAGCATTGAACTCTGGTCATCACGCTTGGCAGCAAGCCCTGAGATCCAACTGTCTGTTTCCTCAGCACTGAAATGACAGCCACCTGCTGTGACATAGGAGCTGGGGCTTCTCCCCGGTCCTATTTCACTTTAGGGTCCACCCTGATGGCCCCACATTAACCAACTCCATATGCAATTGCCTGGCTTCCCAGTGGGTTCCCTATTCCTGGGCTCTGGAGGAGCCAAGCCAGCGTTTGAGAGGAAGCTGAGCCTTGAGGCCAGCATGATTAGGCCCCGTGGACACCGACAAGAGTTGGCTCCCTTCCTTTAATCCTTTCTAGGCTTCGTGGAAGACCTCAGCAGGAAATACCACTTTGAATGTTGTAGCCAAGAGCAGTGTCAGGAGTGGATGGAGGCTCTTCGCCGGGCCAGGTAGGGCTTTGGGGACCACTGGGAGCTGGGTTGGGGACTGATTGGTGAGCCGGGTTCTTTCTTCCAGCTATGAGTACATGCGACAAAGCCTCATCTTCTACAGGAATGAGATCAGGAAGATGACAGGCAAGGTGTGTGGGATGGTGGGGAGGTGGCAGGTGGGAGGCGTGTAGGGTGGTGGCAGGTGGGAGGTGCAGCCTTCCCTGGCCTTGTTCACAGGCACCATGTACCCCACAGGACCCCTTGGAGCAGTTTGGCATCTCTGAGGAGGCCAGGTTCCAACTGAATAGCCTGCCTAGAGACGAGCAGACTTGTACTGGCTCCCAGCTAGGTGTGTTGGACTGACCTTCCCTTGGGCCCCTGGCTGTCTTGGGAGGTGTTTTTTAAAAAAACGTCTGATCAAAGCCAGACATCCAGAGGAAGTGGGCAGGGGCTATGGTCCCTGTTCCCATGCCATCTCTCTGCCAATACCCTTGAGTGCCCCCACCCAGGGACTGAGCCTGGCACAGCTCCCACCCGTTACCAGGTGAATGTATAATGCTAGGTAAAGCTGTGAACCCCACTCCTGCTGATAGAGCAGGCCATGGTGCTGGCCTCCAGTGCTGAGCCTGCTCTTTAATAAAGGTACCTCTTTTCCAAGCCACACAGTGAAGTGAGTGGGGAGAAAGGGGGCACAGGTGGCGGAACCACTTTTCTCAGAGGTTAGCAACCAGGCTAGTTGGTGGGATAGGTGGTGGTGGAGCACACCTTTCATCCCAGCACTGAGGAGGCAGAGGCAGGCGGGTCTCTGAGTTTGAGCCTGGTCTACAGAGTTAGTTCCAGGACAGCCAGAACTACAGAGTGAAGCCCTGGTGCCTACTCTACCCTCCCATATGCATCTCCTGCTGACTTGGTCAGGTTCTGCCTCTCTGCCCTCGGGTCGGCCATATTTCTCTAGGCCCCATTGTACTTGGTGGTGAAACCCATGTCACTCAGCAGCACAAGCTGGATACTCTGGGGTCCCAAGAAACACTCTGGCTGGACAGAAGTGGGACAGGAAGACACACCCACCCTCCTTCTCCAGGTTTGCACTCCCACAACCAGAACCATGCGGGTCCTGAACCAGCTTCTATGTCTTCTAAAGGGGAGGGGTGGCACCCCTATAGGAATCTGTTGCCGTTCCTTCGCACCCCTGCACCCACCCTCTGCATCCCTACGCACGCATGCACGCACATGCACACATGGCTGGATACTGGGGAACCCCTGCCTGGGTTTTGTAGGGGCACATGTAAGTGGGAGTCCTAGGTGGCCCTGAGTAAGGACATACCTCCCTGCGGTGAGCGGCAGGGGAGCGTTGACTCACTGGCTGGGTCTCCCTCAGGCTCCTCCAGAGCCATCATCAGCCCCCCAGTGAGGTGGGCAGGCTGCTCCTCCATGCCAGAGGAAAGCGACCACACAAAGACCACACTGAGATCTGGCTCAAGTGAAAACAGCTTTTTATTACTGTGTCTAGAGGTGGCAACAATGTGTGAGATGCCTTGGGAAACCAAGGGAGAGAACAGTGCACCTGTTAAGTACAGAGGTCATTACAAGACAGAGCAAAGCTGCATCAAGTTATCAACAAGCCAGGCTGCCAAAACAGCTGTATAGGTTGGGGGCGGGAACCCGGAGGTGTGTCTGGTAGAGTCCCCGTGCGGGCTAGCCTGGGAGTGCGTGCCAGTCCATAGGGCTTCCTATCATTTCCTGAGCTCAAGCCCTGAGCCAGCCTTGGGCTGGAGTGGCAGGGACCACTGAGGCAGCCTCACCCCATGCTAGGACCATCAGCCAGGGGACCCAGGGTTACCATGAACCATGGTCGGTTTATTATGGGTTCCCCTTTCTTGTGGGCTCAGGAGAGGACTTGCAGCTGTGTCCGCCTGGAGCACCTGTGGCCCACTGGGCCATGCGGGCCACCAACATGCAGTATCTGTCCCCTAACACTCAAGTAAGGTAGAGGCAGCAACTGCGGGAGCAGCAGCTGCCAGGGTGGCAGGTGTTCAGAGTTCACTCAGTGTCTTATTCCAGGCCTGGGACTTGCTGACTATGGCCACCCTGCTCTGCAGCACCGTAACTAGCTGTGGTGTGCAGACAGGCCTGGCTGGCATGAGCACCATCACGGGTGGGAGGAGGGTACACCAGCACCATCTTCACAACTGCCATGTGAGGCAGGTCAGGCTGAGAGGGTCAACATGGCCTCCCCACTTACAGCCCACCCACCTCAACCTGAAATGAGCAGCATTGAGGGCAGTCAGGACTGCCTTAGCAAGCCAGGTCAGCCCTGGCCCCTTTGCAGCCACACTCAGTGCACCTGCACCCAGGACCAGGAAGCAACAACTAGACACGGGCAGTGCCCACAGTGACCAGAGGCCCTGGGTGGCCCAGCACACATGGGCCACACTCCTGCAGGGTCCCTGGCCAGAGCCATTTTTTCTGCATTTGAATAAATAAAAGTATTTTTCCTCCTCACTTTTCTTTCCTTTAAAGTTACTGTGCATTATACAATCTAAAAATAAATGCAGTCAAGTCTATGAAATTTATAAATCTCCATCACATCTCTATAAAATACTGTCACTCATCATGTGACTCTCTTATACACAGATGCCAGGGGACCCACAGTGGGCCAGCCCCATGTCACCTGGCCAGCATGCCCCGAGCCAGAAAAGCAAAGGAATACAAAGTAAATGCACTTGTCACAGGAGCCACTGAGCCCTGCAGTAGCAGCCCACACCCGTCAGCACCCATAGTCCTACCCCAGCCCAGTCTGCACTCAGCAAAGGCACGCCTGATGCCACAGGGTTAACAGTGGGGTGTTCACAGTGACACTGGGCGAGTTCCAAGGAGGGGGCCAAAGGTCAGCCCCCATCAGGCATGCCAGGCATGCCTTTGGTATCAGGACAAGCTGTGGGGGCGCCTCTGAGAACTGTTTGGCCACAGTCCACATCTGGGGCAGCACCCGGGGGTGGAGTTGGAGACGGGCAGGCATGGGCTCGGCGGTGAGATAGCACCGGGGACGGAGTCAAGAGTCCTTGTGGTGGCCAGCCCGGCAGGCCAAGTCTTTATGTGATTCTCTCTCACAGACATTTAGACGTCTCAAGAGGTTACCTTGGACGACTTTGATGGAATAAAATAAGTCAGAATTGCTTGTACTTTTTAAAAAAAAGATAAATATTTTATCTAAAACTATCGACAGTACAAACTGGACCAGTCCAGCACCTCCTGCGGTGCCGCCGATTCACAGAGGCTCCATGTCCGGCTCCGCCGGCCTGGCACGCAGCAGGCTTGGTCCACACCGTCCTTGCATAGGTCGTGGCTGAGGTAGAAGTCCTAATTACCTACAGGGAGTAGGAGCATGGGTTAGGTGTATTCAACACGCCCACCATGGCTGAGCTGCCCCACAGGACACAGGGCAGAAGGGGTGCTCCTGGCAGGTACTGTTGGGCCCAGACCCTCCAGCTCTGCCTTGCTGAGCACACAGGGTGGATCAGCTGGAGAAACTCTAGCCCTAGGACCTCCAGATGGCATTGGCCAGGCTGTCCTGTGCCAAGGCTACTGCCACCACATGGCTACACCCTATAGAGAAGGCCAAAGGCCTGCCGCCTGGATTTTCACTCATGGGGGAGGGATGTCTATTACCACGAGGACAGCCAGGCAGGGTTTGACAGCTGCTGTGTTCAGGGAGAGGTTGACAGGTAGGTAGGTACCTGCTCCCTGGACCTTAAGCCCCAGCTCTGCTCATGGACCTCCATGCTACCCTCAGGCAGCTTTCTGCCTCTGGGCAGAGCCTACCACCTCACCCCCAACAACCCCTTGTTTCCCTTGCACAGGTTGGCTGGTGAGAGGCCTTAATTTAGAGCTAAAAAAGTGACCCCAACCATGAACTGCCGTGGGTCAGGACCCTCATGGGTGGGTTGCAGCTACCTTGGCTTTTGTGCACCACACTCGAATCTCATCACCTCAGCTGCTGGCTAAGAACCACGTCGGCCCTTCCTCCCTTAGCCCCCCATCTCCACCATCAGGACCCTGGGCATCTGCTCAGCCCTGCCAGCGGTCTTCCAGGCAAGAGGAGGGGTGGTTTGGCTCTAGCCTTACCTTACAGAACATGAACTGCTAGCTAAGCAAGGTCTTTATCGAGGCTTAACCCCCGAAACGTGCGCGGCATAAGGAGGCGGCATGCCAAGGGAAACCCACACAGCAGATGGCCCCGAGGAGCTGGCCTGCGGGGTGGCGGGCGCGGCCTGCGCCAGGGCCAGCCGGGGCAGGGGCTGGTGGTGCACCGTGAAGGAGGGGCGGGAGACCTTGTGTGGGAGGGAGGCGAGCTTGACAGACAGAGAGGCGTTAGCAGGCTGCAGAGAGGCGGCAGAGGAGGGGGGTAAGAAAGCTTTGTTAGCGGGGAGGGAGGCCAGGCTCTGCAGAAGCACCGGCTCTGAGTTAGCGGCCAGCAGCGCAGGCGGAGGAGGCAAGGCAACGTTAGGAGGAGGGGGTGCGTGGAGGACAGGTGGCCCCGCAGGGGGCCGGCCCAGGTGCTGAGGAGGAAGCAGGGGAGGTGGAGGGGGCGGCCTAGTCTCAACCGAAGCCGC